GCCCAGGTACTGCTTCTCCTGCCCAAGTCCCGGAGGGCAGGGTTGTTGCCAGGGACACCTGTCTGTGCCCTGCAGGTCTCACGTGGATGTGCAGGTGGGAAGTGCAGGATGAGAGAACCAAGACTCAGTGTCAGGAGGCAGCAAGGGTCCCTCTCCTGTCCTCAGTCTGTCTCCCCCAGGGATGCTAGCCTGACACAGCCTTATATCCATGCAAGCTTAGTTTTTCTCCCTTTGTTTGCTTTGTGATTGTTAATACACCACATCATCTGTGCCTTCTTAGCCTGCGGGAAGTGTAACAACTGTTATCTACCACAAACTACCGAAGCCTTAAATTACAGCTGGAACGGTGACAGTGACAGATTAGGATTTTTAAAATCAAACTCAAATGTGCCCGTCACAGCTAAAAGAAGGGCCGAGTTGACTTAAAAATAATTTGCTAGGAAAATTCTGTGATGCATGGTAAATTCAGTTCCCCTCAGCACATTTCCTTCCTCCACAAAGTATTAGTCTAATTGATTCCTGAAAATGCTCTGCTATGACTTAAAACTGTTACAGCAGGGGAGAGACTGATACAAACTTGGGGTTCTTCCATGGGCAAGAAGGAAAGTTCACTTTGAAATTTTAAATGGGGTGTAGTGGGAGCACACATTTGTAATCCAATGGTCTTTCATCTCCAGCCCTGCAAGACAGAATTGAAGGACAAGGGGGAAATCACCAGTGACAATAGCTAATGTATTTTAAATACTTATTACAAGGAAAAATTAATTCGCTAAGTTAGTCTTGTAGATACAGATTTAAAAAATGAGTTACTTTCTCTTTAAAATGCAAAACTTGGAGCACCTAATGCAGCTCAGACTTGCCATCACCTGGCTGGGTAGGAGGTTATACCTATGTGTGTGCACCACGGGCAGGGGCTGGAGTTGCCCATCCTCCTCCTACTGTGCTAAGCACCTCAAACATCATCTGGGGGCTGTCTTGCCCTCAGGGGTTACTCTATAAATATATTGCCCGCATGCCGTGTGAGCAGCCTTGGGGAAGGAGTCCTGATGCAGAGACAGTCTTTACAGACGGGGTCCACAGAAAGGCTCCTGATGGTAGCTGGAGGGAGTGCCCGCACAGACAGGCAGCGTCGCCAGGAGCCAGGCAGGCCGAATGCTGTGGTTGGTCTCCTCTTCAGCCTTCCTCCACCTCCAAGTGTCTCCAAGCACATGTGGCCTCCAACAGGCCCTGGTTGTGTTCTGCTCTCACTTGCTCCTGTCTTACACTCAGTGACATGGAGGAGATCTCGACAGAGGAGGAGGGGAAAAAGGACTTCCAAGAGAAGGCAGAGCGGTGAGCAGTAACAAATCAGTCTCTTGAGATCTGGAATTCGGATGTGGGAATATAATAGCTCAAGGAAGAGAAGGGGCAAGTGTCTGAAGTGAGAACTGGAGCTCTTGGGGATAGTGATGAGAGGGAGCTCAAGAGGGGGGTGGCAAATGGCACTTTCTCCCTGAATCCCAACTAGTGTGAAAGAAGCAGCTCAAACCTAGAGGCACAGTGACTCCAGGTGACTTCAGAGGCCTCCACAGAAATGCACTGGTGGAACAAAACAGTGGACACCACGAACTGCAGTGGTTAGACTGATTCCAGTTTAGATGTCCCAGGAGAGGGTGATTAGCTGGTTGCCATTTGGAAAGGAGTCAGCTGAACCCAGAACTCAGAGCAGCCATTTAGTGGTTTGCTCCATCTAGTAGCTCCAGTGTCAGGGTGAAGCTGTGGGAGACCCCAAGTCAGGGAGTGAAGTTCAGGCTGGCAGGAGGCACCCAGAGTGTTGCAGGCTGAACAAGTCAGGCCCACCCTCACAGGTCAGTGGAGTTGCAAGCACAGGCTTTCTGGGTTCCCTTTAGGCTTGCTGGGGTCAAACGACAGGAATCTGGCTGTCAGCCCCCTTTACCCTCCAGTGACAGCAGACACACCCTGGACACCTTTTCTTATTGCTCATTCTTGTTTTCATGTCAGTGTAATCATTGCTTGTACTGTTTTTTGTTGTTGTTTGCATCTTGTTTTGTTCTTGTTTCTTCCTTTTCCTTCTGTTTCCACACTGGTTTCCTAAAGCTCATGTAATATTTTGTCCTTCAGCTTTGTTTCTCATCTGTTTCTCTTCTATTTTCTCCTTTTACCTCTTTTAAATTTTTTCCCCTGATGGTAAATTCACTCTATTGAGAGGATATTTACTAGATGCAACTTCAGGTTTGATTTAGATTTTGTTATAAAACTACAAATCTTGTTCATACACTTAAAGGAGAGAAATTAATAATCAACAGTTTGTCATTTTCCAGGGTATGTTTGATGCTATTGTTATGACTGATTGTACTATGTTAGTTAAGGTGACATAGTTGTTCTGATCAGTTGTTCTCTTTTCTATGCCAAGACCGAGACTGCCTGAGGGTTATAAATAATTCCATAGGCAGTGCCAAAGAACCGGGGGCTAGGTCAATTAGGCAGCAACAATAAATTCTTCCCCAATAAAGTGAAGAGGTAGGATCCTGCAACAGACTCAAGTCAAAAGCCAGTTATACCTAGAAGACATCTTTGAAAAGTAGTTATTTCCTAAGGAGTTCTAGACACTAACAATAAAGCTACCTATTATAAGCAATTGATGAGCATCATTGCCGAAACTAAACTTAAAAAAAAGTAGAAAATGAGAGCCATGGAGGGAAGATGCAACCTCAGGGCAAGGCAAACCCGGGGTAGTGAGGTGGAACAATCTGAAAGTCACTCACTTGGACTCTCTGAATGGTAGTGGAAGTAACAAAGCAGGTTCCTGAAAAAAAATCATGTTAGAGATAATTTCTCAGCTGACTACAGAGATGGTGACCATAGTGAAGGACAGGGTTAGTGTATCCAGAGTAGACACAGATTAAAAAAAAAAAAAAAAAAAAAAAGAGGAGCTTAGGAAAGTGATGGAATCCAGGACTCAAATGTTTCCTGGCTTTACCTCAGGGAGCAGACCACGCCTCTCTCTTTGCCCCCCCCGCCCCGCCCCTAGGCCCCATACCTTGTTCTGGCTCCACCTTCCAGGTATCTGGGCTGACAGAGAAGGCGGCAGCATGGCCCAGGGAACACAAACGACACCTGAGCAAATGAGTCTCAGTTCTGCAATCAGTTCCCAGATGATCATTTCTTGTGCCAAGTGTTACCTAAGGCAAGCTGCTTACCCACCCACCATCCCAGTCCCTTGGCTATAAAAGAGAGAGGAGTTGGGAAAGGGCCATGCTGGTTACAAGTGCAGATTCTACAGGGTCTCAATCCCTGATTCTGTCACTTCCTATGTAGCCTTAAGGAAGTTCCTTTAAGTCTGTGTGCTAATTAACTCTGTTCATCAAATTCTACAGATACCTAACTCCGTGGGATGCTATGACAGTGAAAACAGCAACAACCCTGGCACAGGGTAAGCACTACAGAAGCCCCTGTGGTCCAGTCTTAGGCAGACATATGTGATGGGGAAACAGATGTCTGACAACAGGCATGAGAACCATTTATGGGCTTGGCCCACACCAAGTCATTAGCACATTTATATATAAAGTGGGAAGGTAGGGCACTTAGTCTTTAAGTGCAGGCTTCTGCCTTGCCTGACACAAAACATAAGTTGAGTTAAAAGTGTCTGAGGCCGAAGCCAGGGGGTGGGGACCTGAGGAAAGTGGGAAGAATCACATTTTATAGCCCCTGGAATATTCCTGTGGTTTAGCAAAGGTCCCTGAAGAACAGCCCAGAAAGCCTGCCTTCACACAATCATGCTGAGATAACTGCAGGGCAGGGACACCTGTGACTCCAGGGCCTTCTGTTGTCATGTCTCCCCATCATTTGGTGGCGAGTCACATAAACATGGAGTCTGTACACCAGGGGAAGGTGCCGAGCACTGGATGTCACTCTTCTCCCACCCACACACCCGCTCCTGCCCACCGGTGATGTGAGGGAGGACCTGGAGGGATGCCCACGCTTACAGCCCCACCCCTAGGGATGCCAGTACCTGATCTGCAAAGAGTATGGGTCACACGCTCTGCTAAGGGCATCTCGGGCGGTTATCAGTTCTATCAGTAATCAGAGGGGTCAGCAACTGTCCTCAACCTATTTTAGAAGATGAGTACATTGAAACTCAGGACTAGTAGTAGCTCTCCACGGCCACTTGGGTGAGAAGTGACAGGGCTGGGTGAGCCCAGGCTTGCTGATTGAACCCTGGACACTCACCCACCTCCACTGAGGTCACGCCACTGTTTGAGCAGGGCTCATCTGGAACACTGCTCTGACCCTCTCACTCCAGGGTTTAGGGGAAAAAAATCAACCCGTCACCTCACGCCCAAGCTCTTGTAGAATCTGGCTTCTGGCAGAGCCTCCCACCCTTCCCTTTGTAGCTACCCCAGACCAATCAGAAATGCTTCGTGCACCCTCCCCCTGGTGGCTGCCCACCACCAGGAGGGCTCCACTGCTGCTCTTTGGAATTCCCATCATGCTCCTTTCCACCCCAATCTGTAAGTGCATGGTCATGTGGTCCCAGGCTGCAGGACTCTTCCTTAATGCAGTCTGCCTTCCTTGGAAGGCCAGGTGCTTCCTTGATTCAGGCACCTCCTCCTTGCTGGCAGGGTGGCTGATCTTTATCTACATCCCTGCGCTTGGCACCTGCCCACAGTCCCATGGGGAAAAGGTCTCAGCATCTGACGGCAGAGAGGTAGCAGACCCAGGGCAGGCAGCACTGCCCTGGACACCCTGCCTCCCAGCGTAGGAGCACCTGTTTGGGGACAACAATCATATAGCACTGCTGTTTCCCAAAGGCCTGTTTCTCACTCTTCCCAAACAGTAAAGATGGGGACACTGACCCTTCTTGGCTGACGGTGAATGATGTGCTTGGCAACCAGAAAGAGAAGCCAACCCAAGTGCTTCAGTGGGGCACAGACATGGCTGGATATAATGCAGGGATTTGGGTCTCATATAGACACCTTCCCCCAACAAGGAGCAAGGCACACAGGCAAAGAACACTTTTATTCCACCCGCCTCATCTCTCAGAATGGGGGGCAAAGGGTAAAAGTGCATTTTTCTTAAAAGCCAAAGAACTCCAAAATGGCCAGCTGGGACCTTGTGACAGGGAAGGTGGTTTTTCCACTTGATCCCAAGCACCACTGAACTTGAGGAGGGCGGGACCCTGGGGAGAGCACTAGGACAATCCCACCCACCCACCCACCCACCCAGCGCCACTCATCAGCCATAAGGTCACTTGCTGTGGGATGGCTGTCTCCCTTTCACTGGACTGCACGGGGCCTAGGCAGGGATGGGCAGCGGGGCCAGGGGCTGGGATGTGATTCCGGGAAGATGCTGATGGGATGGTCTCAGTTTAGATCTGGAAGCAAGGGGTGACATGGGCAGAAGGGCGGATGCAGAGATCCTTCTGAAGCAGATGGTATTGGTAAGGAGGGTGTGTCTGTGAGTCCGTGCTGGGTCCAGGGCCCCACACTGCTGGTGATGCAGTCACCGTAACCACCTGAACAAGCCTCACTTGGGCCGCTGGGGGTGCAGAGGACTGTGCTGCCACACAGGCCATGTGGCCGGGTGGGCTCCTGCTCCGGTGCTCAACAGCCCATCCTGTGCCCTGGCAAGGCCACATCCTCTAGAGCGCCTGGGCTGGCTGCTCCCCGGCCTGCTCCTCCACAGGCTGCATGGCCTCCTGCACGTAAACGATGAACTCCGAGGCTTCCCCACCCTGAGTGTACACAGTCACCGTCTCGATGCCCTCCACGTCGTCAGAGGACACCACCAGATGGTGCTGCTCGGCCAGCTCCACGGAGGCTTGCTGAAGGGTCTCCTGGATCATGACCGTGTGGTTGGAGCTGGGCTCCTCTTCAGTGACCTGGGGGAGCCGAAGGGAAAGGTCACATGGGTTTCACAACAAGAAATCACAACTCACAACTAGTGCATGTCTGGAGCTTGTCTGTCTGCACATAGTCCTCTAACCCATGCTCTGTGACTGCCCTTATGTCTGTTTTATGGAGGAAGAGAGCAAATCTCCATGATAGAAAGGAGGGTAACCAGGGGCATGTCCAAGCCCAAACTCAAGCTCCTTTCCTGATGGCAAGCTTCCTCCTGTGGTTTCCAGGAGGCGTAGGGGTCACTAAAGGATGAGGGGTGGCTGGAGGCTGAGCCAGGAGAAATGAAAGTTCCAGGACAGCCTAGGCATCTCTGTGAGCCCCGGACTCAAAATTTAAAAAGAAAGAGCTAGAGATGACTCAGTGATAGAGCATCCCTGGGGTTCACCTCTAGGTCTATTAAAAAATAAGCAAACAAGCAAACAAAAACCCTCAGCACTGTGCAGGTTACCCATTGTAACAGAGGCAGGCATAGGTCAGGAGGCTCCTGGAAAGCCTATGTGTGGCTGTCTAGAGATGACAAAGAAACCAGGCTTCTCTTGGGTCCTCTGTCTTTCCACACACTCTGGGAGCTGAGCTCTGGGTGAAGATCATCCTCATCCTAGGAATGACCAAATACTCTCACAAGATTCCCTTCCCTCAGGGTCATGCTAGAGGTTCAGTAAGAGCCTGCCAAGGGACGCTGGCTGCCAGTCTGGGCAGGAGGACCCTGGGGAGCATCAGGTGGTAGACGGGACTGCTAGGCTCCACAGCCGGGCGGCTTGTGGTTGCTCCAAGCTGAGAGAGGGCCGGCAAGGCCGCATTCATGCCAGGGCTAAGGCCCGACATGTCCCTGATTTTGTCACGCTGAGCTTGCTCTGAATAGCAGCTCTTTCTATTTTGAGAGGAGGAATAATAAGACATGGGAATGATTTAGAAACAGTTGAGAACCTAGAACTACAATGAGCAAAGGGTTAGAAAATAAGCGCAGGAGGGAGGCACAAGGGCCTGGAGGAGGAGTCCGCAGACCTGTGAAAAGTCACAGTGATGACTTTCCAGGGGGCCCAGTTGCTCCATTCTGCGTTAACCTGGGCCAACAGCCAGCCACATCACCTCCTGGCTGTGACGGATGAGCAATGCTCTGCCCACAGCCCTCAGTTCCTTATCTCTATAAAATACCTACGGAAGAGTTCTAGGGAATTACAGGAGATTCTCATGCAAAGTGTGTGTGAACAGCTTACCTGCCCTTTCAAATCATTCATTCATTCATTCATTCATTCATTCATCTATTCCTACTTTCCTAAACTCTCTGCCTGGAACATATTGCAGCACATCAAGTACTTCTTTCAATCAATGAAACCTTGTCTTCCTTTTTCAGCTACCACTATCTGTGATATCCACAGGGGCAGAGACTGTATCTGTCCTGTCATAGAGGTTTCCCTGGAGCCAAGATCAGTGCCTGGCACATGATAAGCTCTCAATATTGGTTGACTGATGATCTTCTAGGTGCCAGGTGCTGAGAAGGTGTGAAGGTAGCACCACAATAGAAAAACATGGTCCTTCAAGGAGCTCAGAGTCTGCAGGGCAGGCACACAGCAGAGGGCAGGGTCGCCAAGGAGCTGTGGGGTAGGGGCCAGGCAGGCCGAGGCAGGAAACCAGGACTCCCAGAGCATGGGGGCTTCCCACTCATGCTGCCTTTGACGGCTCTCCTGGCCCATGCCTGTGACACTCCAGGACACATTCTTTGGAAAGCACCCATGTGGCTGGGAGGGTTTCAGTCTTAACCTGAGAGTATTGCAGTCACTGTGAGAGGGAAGGACCATGTCAGCAGGTGAGTCATGTTCAATCCAGAGAGGAAAAGAGGAAAAGGCACCTCTGGGTGAGCCCTAGAGGTTGCAATGTTAGGGACTGGAAGGAAACATGGACTGGTGAAATCACCAGAAACTAGAGAGCCACTCCAACTGGAAGCTATTTAGCCTGATTTTCCCTTTTTGGTAAACCAAAACTCACCCCCCACCACCACCTTATTTTACTATTTGCTTCAATTTCATTTAACTGGGAAAATGTAACATGAACCAGGACTTCAGAGGTAAATATTGATTATTTGACTTTTAAAGACAGAGTCTGGTGAAAGACTGGGGAGGGGCGGGAATCATGCAATGAGCACTTTCTCCTTCTGTCAGTAATGCTCCAGAGGACAAGTGAGAGACAGGCGACTCATGCCAAGGTCCTCCTGTGTGCAACAGGCTCACCACATCCAGTGAGATCAATGGCATCCTCTGGAAAACAACACCATTATATGGGCATGGTGACTGTCACAAAAGCTAAAGCCTAAAGTCAAATATTCACTGAAAGAAACTTTGCATTGGCTTAAACCCCCTTCCTTAACAATTCCAATAGTAGCAGTGTTGTGGGGGCTGAAATCCTGCAAGGCTCAGGAGAAACCACCCTTGCAGGGACAGAGGTTCAGTCCCTGCTCCCATGGTGGTACACAGAGCACACCAGTCCTCAGGATTGGCTCCAGGAGGAAGCAGGAGGCCCTGAGGTGACTAGGACCTAGCCGCTGCCACAGGTGAGATGAAGACCAGAAGGCCAGGGCACCTGAACTGCCTGACAGTGTGTCTGTCATTAACTCTGTCATGTCAGACACTGGGGGCCACTTTGCAGAGGCGGCAGTAGCCCCAGGAATGATGGTGAGAAGGGCACTGCAGGCACAAAGAAGGGCGGCTGTGGGCACAACAATGTCCCCAATGCCGCCAGCCACCTCCCAGCCAACCAAGCCCCCAGGGCAGTTCTGTGTCACCTGCAGAACATTCCAGGCCAAAGGTCAGGCCAGTCCACTGTCACTTCGCCCTGCCTGCACTCCACTGCTGGGCTGTTCCACTCCTTTCCCAGCTTCCAGGACTCCCCAGTGCTCTCCTTCAGCTCCTACTCTTCTGGGCTCTCTTCTCTGTGGACGCTCTGCTCTCAACTGAGCCAGAGACGCCAGCCCACCTTGGCTCCAGGCCATGCGTCAGCACACGCATAGCTGCCCAAGCAGCTGCCACACAAGGCAGGAGCTGGCTGTGTACATTTAGGCAGCAGGTGGCGGACGGCATAAGCAGGGAGACTAGGCGAGAATTCCACGGAGGGGACATCACATGTTTTCACACAGGGGTCCAACTTTATCCACGCTAAGGAGCCAAGCCTGTCCCCCAGGGGAGACTCACAGGGGCTGTGATTCTCTCACAGCCATCCAAGTGTCTATGCCTGCTTGTTCACACTGCCTTTTCTAAGTAGGAAGTCTTTTAAAGCACTCTTTCTCCCCTGATTTCTCCAGTTTCTCCAATTTCCAACACTTTAGAAGCACTTTAGAAATGGCATAAATGGGATAAATGTGTTTGAAGAGAAGGGGAATACTTGGCGGGGGGGGGGATTAATAGCAATGTGCCTTTTACTGTAATTATTTAATTTTTATGTAAACATCACCATATTTTTTATCACACCATGTAAAACTAGGACATGAGCACTGCACAGGAAGGATCACCAGTGACAGCAGGCTGCTTCAGAGCAGGCTTTGCAGGGTGCCCCCATGCAGCCCATGTGCCATACGGTAACAACTGCTTTTATGGGCTTCTGCAAACCTCACACTTCCTTCCTTGATCCAGGGAAGCCAATGCAGTTCACCGAACACCCTCATCCCACTTCAGTGCCTTCCTGCAGTGATTTCCACACCACTTCCGTGGCTTGGACATTTCCACTCTGTTTTTATCAAAGGGGTCACTAAGGCTACTACGGGTCTCATGACTCATCTGAGGTCAAGCAGTTACTAAGCAGCAAAAGCTGGTCCTAGGTCTGGGTCAGCCTGAGTCCAGGGATATTCTGCAGTGCTGCAGTGTGACAGTGACTAAAGGTATCATATGTCACAGACTGACAGGATTAAATTATTGCTCCTTATGCATCCTAAATGGACTAAGTGTGTCTGTATTACTCTCAACCATTTTCTTTGTTCCAAATGATCATGCTAGTAGCTTAATCTATTAGTACAGGCTTAAAGTCGTTCTCCACAGTAGAAATAACACAGCTTGCATGGTGTCATTACCCTCTGAGATGGATACTCCATTTTCCCCAAACACTGAATCTAACACTCTTTCAGCTAATTATCAGCAGCATAGATGGTTTAATAGAAAACCTTAACCCATGGGATTTTCCCAATTACTCATGAAACTGGGCCCTGCCTCCTGCAGTTGCACCCACCTGGAGTGTGCATCTGGAGTCTCCACTGGATCCTGGTCAGAAGCCCAGGCACTGGGCAGGCTGTACTGATGCTGAAAAGCAGCTCCCCATCCACACCCTGCCTCTTCTTTGGCTTCACCCCTCCTGGTCCACTTTCCCAGCAAGCACTGATGGAGACCTGCAGGCACCAGGCCACCAGGCTGCCTTTGATCACCTCACTGCCTTGCCTTCTGCCCATTCCCTAGCAGTCTCCCTTCCCTTCCTCCCACTTTCTCCAGTAAGTCTATTCCTGATAGAACAAGCTTGCTCCTTTCCAACATCAAGAAAGTCACCGGAGTGCCCCTTTGCTCAGGAAGCTCTATTTAAGGACAAATCGCTGTGACACCCACATGATGCCACGTGAGTGTCCTGCCTTGGCAATGAGTTACAACCTCGTCACTATACCAGCAGCTTCCTGGGACCAAGTACAGCCCTGGCTCTCCATGCCCGGTGGAGCCACTCTCTCAGCAGGCGTGTGGCAGGTGCTGGGCTGAGTTCTGGAACTGCTCAGGTAGAACCTGGAGAACCAGATAAAGAACATCAAGAGTGGCCACATACTCTGGCTGGCCTGGCTTTGTCTGCAATTCTGCTGATAGGCACCAGCCCAGGTGACGTAGTATGGGGAAGACAGTGTACTGTCTATAGAGGAGGGAAAAACCCCTTCACATCAAAAGTCCTAAAGGTCCACTCGTTATACAGGAGAGGAGCCCAGGCTCAGAGGAAACTGCCTAGAGCCACACAGCTGGGAGCA